CGAGAGCCAGCTAGTGTGGGGACTGTGTCTAACTTGTTGGCCTTGGCGCAAGGTCTTCCCTCTGGTCAGCCGCTATAAATAGGCACGACTGTTTGGATCGTCTGTTGTCTCACCAGCAGCAGTTGGACTTGAAGTAAAGTTCCGTCGATACGAGCGCAACCAGACCTATTTCCTGCTGGGGATCCTACTTTGAATGGAAATCTTTCAGTGGTGTGAGAGCCTTGAGTATATTCCATATGATAACACGCTGCGGTATCTTACTATTCTTGTGTCTTCTCCGGATCGTCGGTATGTAAATATAAACGGGTAGTATTGTAACGATTCGAAGTAGTCGGAGGGCCACCTGGCCTGTTTAAGGGACTATACTGTCAAACGCCCGCCAAAGGCTGCTGGGAGCCTGTCATGAGCATGTATCACAGTGACTTGTAGGAGCTGAGGCTGGATACTCGGACTTGGCTTTAGTATGGCAATTCACGCGGTAATCATGGGCGCCCTGGAAGCCATGCGCATCACAGGCAGTATTGTCACTCCCATTGGATAGAAAATCAGGAGAGTTTTGCTACGTGGGCGGATACTTCTAAATAACAAGGCGAATTACTTGGTACCTGAATTAGATCGTTTCAATAGTTTCATTATCACTATCGTCCATATCCTCCTGATTATTCCTGTCATTACTGTTTCTATCCCTCTCTCTATCTCTATCGTCGTCTATGCCCACTCCCCGCCTGGTTAGCGAGAAATATCCGCGCAGACGGGAAAACTCGATTTGAAGCTGTCGTGTAAGGGGCCGCACTGAAGTGGTACTTGCGTACAACTGAATTCGGTGTCAGTACGCGTTGCCAGGAACATATTTACTACCGCGGTCTATGGTCGTAATGAGATCTACCTTACCTACAGCTGTCTTAGGTATCTTTCGGTTCCTCAGCGTAAGGTATGTGTGAACACACATTGCGTCCTGAGGCGTATGTTGTGCCCCGCAGACGACTCAGCTGCCAAGCATAACCAACATATGAATGCAAGGCAGAAATGCACTTCCACTGCCAGAAATTCAGTCAGCATGAGGCACAGCATGAGGCACAGCATGTCTCTGATTGCGGCACATAACACATTATTACCAGAGGGTACCCCTCTTTTCCACCGCGACGTTTATTCTCCAACCATAACACCATTTCACCTAAACTTCTTGCGTTTTCACCCATCATAGCGCTATCCATTGATGCTAGCGCTTGTTACGTTACACACTCGGTTCTATGCATTATCCTCTAAAAGTTGCGCATCATGCCCAGCATCACAAACGATTCTAATTCCCCTAGGGGCGCAAGTCTCGACAGACAACGAGTCGCGGCGCAAAACTATGAGAGCGACCCCGCCGAAAGTCTCATGAGCGAGAGCAGCTCCGACAAGAAGACCGATTTCGACGTGACAGAGAATTCCCACGGCGTCAGGAGAAGAAACTCTGCCAGCGCGATCCAGCAATTTCTTCTTGATGCCCTCCTCATAATACCTTCGATATGTTTCATCGTTTACGGAATGTTGGCCCTCCAGAATCATGGGAAGCCGATTGATGAGGACCCGGTTCCAGCCTTACGCATGGCCGCGACGTACAGCCCGACCATTTTTCCTATCGCTTTTGCCGCTGTTGCTGCGAATTTGCTGAAAGCTGCAGCCGGCTGGAAGATGGAGCGAGGCGTCACGGTTCTGAGTCTCGAGTACCTCCTTAGCTGCCGCACCGTCTTCAGTGCAGTAACGACACCCTTCACTTTACGGCGTGCAAACATCCTGGTACCGTTCCTTGTCGCTCTCTGGGTCATGTCGCCTCTAGGAGGCCAGGCCGCTCTGCGTATAATGGAGATGATCCCTTCACAAATATCGGAGCCGTATCCATTCGAATATCTCGAGTTCATGTCCGTCTTTCCACATTCGAGTCCTGTGAGCTCGGCCGGATCTAGTCTGATGCCCTCTATTCAAGGGACCTTCATCTCAGCTCTATCTAGTTCCGAGGAAGTCAAACTAGGGCCTCGAGATGCGTTCGGGAACGTCAAGATTCCGATGCTTGAACACTATCCACAGACAATGACAGCCGATCCCGAGGGCTGGTACAATGTCAGCCTCGATGGGTCTGATATGATTTGGTCTGCCATTATGGGCATTCCTGTTGCAACACAGGGCGGCTTTTCTCGGGGGCAGAACTATTCTTTCACCATGAATACTTCCTATATGAACGCAGACTGCTCAGTACGGCGCGGACAAGCAATGAACCTCGGAAACTGGTCCAAATACATGAATAAAACTGGGCTGTACAAAACTGGCAGGGTTCTCATCATCAGGCCCGCCGGAGTTCGCAACATATTCAGCAAAGCACCCATGGATCTCATACTCGAAGCTTACTACTTACCGAATGAAATAACCACCAATGCTACGTGTGTTATCACAACGACGCATGCCGAAGTTGACGTAGCTTGCCAAGGACCTGTTTGTGGCTCTCATCGCATCAGACGAACTGAGAAGCCGGAGAACATGACAGTGAGAACGGTATTGGATGGCATTGCAGCAGAAGGGTCTCAGAAACTCGTGCCAGCGGGAGTTCTTAACGCATTTATGGAAACCCTCGTTCGAATTACCCAAACACCATGGGAGGCCCAGGGCATGGGAATGTACAAACCATTCCCTTCACCATTAGAGACCTACTTCACCCATCCGAATGCCCCATTTTCCGCTCCAGGGATCGGCAATTGGAATGGAACGGACATCTACGAAGTCGGGGATGTGGTGTTCTCCCAAAGACTTTCTCAGCTTCTCAACACATTCTGGCTTTCTTCGGTGGCGTCTCTGAATATTTCAGGGAACTTCAACTTTCAGACGCACAGGATGCTTCTAGGAGTTGAAAACACCATCGTTCAAAACGTTACGGGTACAAAAACGCCAGATCAGTTAGTGATGCGGGTTAACGGGCTTTGGATTTCAGTTTTGTTCATTGCCTCGGCCGTTATGCTAGCTTCAGCTGTCGCGGCTAGCGTCTTTGGCTGTCTTAGGCGGGGTCCTGATGTCCTAGATCGAGCTACATTCTTTCTAAGGGACAGTCCACACGTTAATCTGGCTCAACAAAACTCACTGGAAGACGGGGTTAGTCAGGTCAAAAGGACGAAAAGCCTACGTGTTTGCGTCGGCGATATCAGGCCTACGGAAGAAACTGGTTATGTCGCATTCGGAACAGTCGGAGAGGCCACACCGTTGAGCTGGCAGGAAAAGGAGAGACGTTATGCTTAAGACTTTAGCTGATCATCTTGAACTGATAATCAAATAATGAGGTGTATTACTTGTCCATCACAAATGTTTGAGAGTACAGTTAGAATCTATCCAATCAGCTTAATGATGGGGAACGAGGCTTGCTAGCCGGCTATTGTCCTCTATAAGCGCAATGGAATTGTACCTAGTACTTCTATAAGGACGGCAATAGTAGAGAAAATGAAAGGGGTGGTAATAATGATAACAACGATGAACGACGACGACGACGACGACGAAAGCGAGCACATAGGAAATATAAAACAGTCGCTTTAGCTCAGGATATGCGGATTACACGCGCGTGTGGAAACGTCCCGGACTGCGAAGCTCTGGGGATTGCAGTGTCTACTTGAGGCTTCTTATGTTCGCCATGACCCGTTCAAAATCTTCCACCGCCCTTCCTTTCCTCAACATGAAGTCCTGGGTAACAACCACTCCGCTGGGCGTCCTGAACTCCATGTAGTCCACCGGCTCAAACCCGTACTTCTCATAAACCGCCTTTGCCTTGGACATAGACTCCAGAAACGCAATCGATCCCACTTCATCGGCCTTCTCACATCCCCATCGCAGCAACGGCGTCGCCGCACCCTTCCCTTGGTGTTCTTTGCGGCAAACAATGAGTTCGAGATACCAGTGCCTCACATCGCCAAGAATAGCCGCATGCTTCCTCCCAATACCGCCAAAGAACTCGTTTGCAAAGTCCGGGTTGCCCTCCTGTGGCCAAACGTCTTCCGGCGGCGGTGGCTCCACATTTACTTCGCCGTCCTTGGCTGGATGCACCCATTTCGCCCAGGCAATGACCAGCTCCGGGTCCTCCACGTTATCAGAGTCCGTGACGACGAACACGCTACAGCGCGGGTCTGTCGCTTCATCAGCGAAGGCTTTGAGGAGAAAGCCGCGACACTCTTGCGAGCTTGCTGGAAAGCACGTTGCGGCGACGGGGTTGTCGCTGAAAGCGGACAGATAGACGGCGGTTAGGGCCGGCCCGTCCGCGGTTGTTGCGGGGCGCATTTTCAGCGGCATCTTGGGCGGTAGTGACAGGCCGCTGGAAAAGGCGGCGGTCTGGGGAAAGTTAGGTACTTGTCTCGGCTTCAATTCCGAAGAGGACAACCTTGATCAAGGGAAAGGGTGGGCGAAGTTGAGTGGGAGTTTGATGTTGTGATAACGTGGACAATGCGTTTCTTCGTCCACGTACGAATTCAACATCGGCGCAAGTAGCTGCTGCTTTTGGTTTGCACCGCGGGTACTGCAGCCATTTTTGAAAGTTTAGTGCCGGGCAGCTTCATGCTCTGCTGGGGCGGTCAAACAATCCGATTACGGGTGCATCGCGTGAGTCAACCAGGCAGTCAATAGGTAAGGAAACAAGCATGCACACACCGCGCGATTAGAAGGCCATTGCCCTGAAATATGCTCTCAAAACGCGCTAAAGTCTCTGATGCGGGGTTGTGCATGCAACACGCAAAAGAGAACACATTCGACAGACAACCCAACATAGATGTATGCCATTTGAGCCACGGCAAAACAAAGCTGTAGGACTGCGTACTGAACTTGAATTAGGTTCATTTAGCTCATGATTACTTAAGTGTGTCTCGTTCTGAGAGATTGTCACGTTGTTGTGTGGCCGTCCAATCTAGGGTGTACCAAGATGGACCCCTCGGCTACATGCGGTTCACAACAACACAGGATTATTATTTTGCAATAAGATGAGCCGCAAGCACGGCGAAGTGCCAGAGTGGTTAATGGGATTGACTCGAATTACTACCGATATCAATTGGCTTCGGCCGCGCAAGTTCGAATCTTGTCTTCGTCGACCTCTTTTTGTTTTGGCTTCATTTTGATACCTAGCAGTAGACCCAGCAGCCACCTGCAACAAACCACAGTCACTAGACAACTCTGGAGCTCTGCCATCATTGGACTTTTGTGAAAAGCAAGCAGCTGCAAGCTTGGGTTGCGTGGCAAGCATCATGACTCAGTTGTGGAGCGTGGCGTGGATCAGGATGTCTGCCGCGGGCTGACAACCACGATGACCTCGCCGCCACTCCAGATGAAGAAATCTTCTTGACCAATTGATAATTGCCTTGCAATTAGTTGCTGGGCTGTCCAGACTTGCCGAGAAGGAGTTTTGAATGCAGAGCACTCCCGGACGGTCTCGCACAGCACATCAGCCACGGCACTCAATTAACTAACCTTGAACGCCAAATGATGTTTCAGCGCACATCTACGCTTAGAATATCAACTTGAGATGAGGAAAACCGTTTCTACGTTTCGAATGGTTCCTATAGGGTAGGGTGCTAATAACATCGCAGCCAACATAGCAAGGTCCTCTTTTTCCCATCTGGGAAGCTTAGAAAGCTTGCAACTCCTAAACTATTATCACCACTCGCTGTACTTTCTGTCGTAAAACTCGCCCATGGGATGGTTTCGCTCGAACCAAGTCTCTCGTGGCGACGGTGGCGTCCGCGGCCGGCAGTATTTTTGCAGCCATTGCCTTTCGGTTCGGTTCTCCCTGTCTCGTTCCGGAGTACTCCTGACTCCATAAAATGTCAGATACTCACGCGGACCGGACTTCCCGTCGGCAGGGTCGTCTTTTTGATACCTTCCAGTATCGCGATACAACCCTCCTTCGCTTTCAGGTAAACATTTTCGATGCCGGCGGACAGCACCCGCCGGAATCTTGACTTCCATGTAGTCTAGGTTGTAGAATTGGACCTCCAGGTCGTGGTATTTCTCCATTGGAACCGTCATCTTGCCCGCCTCATTAGGACCGGGGAAAGTCCTGTCAGGCGTACCACCTCCGCCTGAGTTGCCAATTACGAGCCAGACATCCAGAGTTGGGATATGCGTCCGTTTCTTAGGGCTACCTCTTTCTAGTTTGAGGTAAGTGCCGTACATCATCATGGAAAGATGCTCGTTCGGAAGCGCGATGATGGGTATGAGATCGTAGCGGTTATCTCTGAGGCTCTTGACGGTTGGAATCTCCCGAAGCTGGCCTGAGGACTGGCTGTGGATGCCTCTGATCGCCGCTTCGATCCGAGATAGCTTCTTTAGGCGGAATTTCTCGTATTCCTGTTCGAGAATCGTCCTCTCACGCTCGCGGGCCGGTTCGATCCGTTTCTCCTCGTCGCGCAGCTCGCGTGTGCCGGTGCCGTGCCGCCTTGTGATCTCCCTGTAATGCTCTTCTGCGGAGGAATACCCGCCGTCCAACGCCACTTCAGCACTCTCTGGTTCCGCTGGCGGAGGCATATTGTGATGTGGGATTTGCTGGCCAACTTATTTTTGGCGGTCTGTTCTTTTCAACAGTATAATGCAGCTGCAAATCTTACAACTCTAGGTAGGCGTAAGTTGTTTCTCCTGATATTTGTTGGGGTGCTGGTCGAAGTAGAAGCTCCAAAGCAGGGGCGCAAGACCACTGGGCGGGTGAGCACTTTTGAACCTTAAGAGCTAACGACCCCCGCAGCGGTGGCTTCAATGACGCAAGCCGTTCAGGGATGCTGTGGCGCATTTTAACCAACCCGCTGTCCCAATGGAACTTCTTTTCCAGCTCAGTTCTTTTTAGTGTATTGATCAAATGCTTTGCGCTCCGTCACAACACCACCCTCAAGACACTGGATCCACTCCATAGCACCGCCAGATCCAGGGGATCGAAGAATTGCAAGCGAAAGCCAGGGCCAGTTTGACCGGCTACGATACTGAAGAAAAGGAGAGTCTCGATGGGCAATACGACGCACTGCGAGATCCATATACGTTTAATGTTCACAGCTAAGAACTGTTCACTGAGCTAGAAGCTATAAAGTTCCCGCACGAGTATGATCATACATTGGTAGGCACCTAGGGCTTCTTTCAAAAGTCCGAGTGCGACTCAAAAATAAATTGACTTGTCAAGCAGATATTTTCTTGAGAACCGTCCATAACCAAGTAGATACTAAACTTATCGGTCCTAAGACCCTGCTCTGGGCTCTTTAAAGACTGAAAACACGTCTAGCAGTGAATGTTGAAGTGGTTAAAGTTGATCTGTTTCACAGCACCAATGTTGTGACAAGACAACTGCCCAACTGAAGTCCTATTGCAGTCGCCGCCAGAGAAGAAGTTGATCGTGCAATTGCAACCACCCTCCTGATCTGCGACGATCCCGCAAGCTCCATTTATTGCTGGAAAACAGCGGCTCGTTCCAGATTGTGTCTGGTTTGCCCTACTTAAATGTTGACCGGTGCATCTGCCGACTTGACCTGTGCCGAGGTACGCTGATGCTTCGCAGTAAACAGCCAATGCTGTATGCGCGAGTGACGCAACTGATGTAAACAAAGAGGCCTTCATAGCTGACGACAGTGATTACTTTTATTTCGTTGGACTGGGAACGATTAACTACTAGATTGACACAGAGTTCGGGACAACGTTTGCATACCTCACGAGAGCAGATGATCCGCGGGAGGAAATTACTCCAGTTTTCCAACTCGAAGACTGACGTATTTTCGTATGATTCAGTGGCCTCGAATATCTTCAGGTCTTAGCGGATGATCTGCCTCTTGCCTCAAAAATGTTAAAGCCAACCATCCATGTCTTTATAATCGCGAACGTGTCGAGACTCGAATTTTGTGTTTGCCTCGTGTTGTGTGCGACTGACGGGATGCCCGATCTCAAGTTACAATGCGTCCGACATAGTCTGCAAGTCGCCTACAACAGCCTTTCGACAACCCCACATGATCTGGAAAGCCGGGTACGTGGTAGCACTCACATCCATGGATATGGCCGCATTTTTAGGCTTTGAGGGTGGCGAAATTTTGCTTCCCAAAGTTGTCGGCTGTACTCATCGAAAAGCAGCATCGCTAGCAGCCGCCACAGACTCATTCGGGGAAGTTTAGTACACCACTGCTGCCGTAACATCTTACACATAAATAGCACTCGTCGCCCTGAATATCAGACCACGTTTTGTGCGTAGGGCTGGAGTTCGAGTCTAGATGCTTGATTTGTTTGCCCCATCGGCCCACGGCACGGATGCAAGGAACTGTGTGACTCCACACTTGAGACCATGTGTTGTTTGCATGGAAAGGCTGGTGTGGGAAATCCATATCACATTGCACAAGGACACAAATGGGCTTGATTGACGCATGATGTCACCACCACGTTCTTCTGTACAACTGCTACAGTCTCTACGTGGCTACGGAAGCTACGAGCTCCTATCACATTCTATTTGTCCTGCTTCATCGGGCTGGACCTGGCTCTGGCACCACCGGCCATCCCGGAGGGGGGGTCTTCATTTTCTGGAATACTTCCGGGTCCATTGAGTTATCGTTCACCCAGTCCAACAAGGCATCAAAGTTTCGGCAAACTTTGTGGTTCATGAAATCCGGGAACGGCTGGTCCCAGTTCTCTACCCAGTTGAAAGTGATCATGTCGACACTACCCGTGCACTTGATTGCCTGGGCAAGTATGTCGAAGCAGTGGCCGATGTGTGCTTGATGCTGTGCTCCTCCTGGCTTCGGCCCTTCCTTTTCCTCGTAGTAATGCTCGTAGGAGACCTCCCTCCTCAGCATATCGAGACAGTGCAGGTGATGGAAGACCTCTGTCTGAGCAATGTAGGCGTCCGAGCCGTAGCCGAGATCGTCTGGGATCTTTACCGCGACGGCCGGGTCTTTTCCTAGCCGGCGGACGTCTTCCGCCCCAATGACCATTGGCCATACGTGATCACCGATGCGGTGCCATTCCTCGTCCGCTTCCTTTCCGATACGTTGGCGAAGGATAGACGGTGGGCTTGTGTCGTACAGTGTGCCGTTGGTGACTCGTGTAATTTTGGGAATTTCGAAAGTTTCCAGAATGGGGGCTTTTCATTCATCAATAAAACAACATCTCGAGTTGAAGTCTCGTCGGCTTACAATAGAATGATGTTGCTTTCCAGAAGTCTTGATCCTTGAGGGTTTGCTTTGATAATGTACCTGACCAAACGATGCATGACGCGACAAATACCCCAATATTGAAGACTGTCGTCAGCCATGTCGACGACCGCACCAGAAGACGACCTCGGCTTTGGCTGACGTCTCTATTTGAACGCTGCGTTGTGTACTGTTCCACTGAAAGCAAAGCCTTTTCCGGGTCGCCCGAGTCATCGTGACTGCTCAAAGAGGACTCGTCGTCTACCATCCCTCGAGAATCTGTGAACGACTTCTCGTGATGTTCCATCATTGATAGAATGTTTTAAAGATGAAGTGGCAAATACGGAGATCGGATTTCAATGAGAAATGAGCGTAGGCACAAGAAAGAGTCACGGGGTGTGGCTTCCTACCCGAAAAAAGCACATACTTTCATGAATACAAATGAAGTTGCAAAGAAGAGTTCTCCTCCACTTCTTTACGATATACGCAACAGGCAAGGCCCCAACGTTGATGCATTCATCCTCGATGATGCTTAGCTGCGAGAATCCGGATCCTGCTGCCCCACCACTTAATCCTGCGCTCCCGTTCTGGAAGCTCGGCACAACGGGCAAATCCAGTGGGTGCCGTTTACGCCGTCAAGCTCCATGAAGCTGCATGTTTTCCGTTGCAACCTGCTACTTCTGGTCTGCGTGCGGAGTCTTGCGGAATTGAACGCCCGACTGGTATAATATTGGGGTATGAGTGGTGATGATGCCTGTCGAGTCGCAATTCTGCAGGAATCCTTCGTGGCGTCCAGATACGTGATAGCAATTGGTGGTGGTAAGATAGCAACTCATATCGCCATCGAGACCGTCAGGAAGATGGTGATGTAAGTGTCGGCGTCAAATCTCTTATGTAGTAGACGATGTCTCCGCCCTCGATGTCGAGTTGTCAACTTTCCGTT